TCCAGGATTTCTTCCTCGCCTACAAGACGCACATGTATACCGTGCAGAAGGAGATCAAGACTCTGAAGCACAAGGCAGGCGTCCAGACACTGCTGTCCACGAGTGGGTCGCGACCTCGTTTGTTTCCGTTGCTTGGGTCATTTGGGACCAGTGCCGGGCTTCGTGGTTTTAGATGCTAAAATAATTACACCAGAGAAAAAACCCAATCAGTGGATGGTTCTCGCTGAGATGATCGACCAGGAATCCGGGAGCCCGGGAGTCCAGAGCCCACCGAAATCTGCTCAGAACCGATAACCGGGAGCCCGGGAATCCGGAACCGGGAACCCGGGAACCCAGCCTGCTACCAAAATCGGCGGGAAACGTTCGCCAAATCTTTCAACTTTCGCTAGGGCCCCTTCAGTGCAAGCAGCGATTGGGGAACAGAAAACAGCTAGATGCACATACGCAAATATGTTGACAAGCGAGAGAACCCTTCGGGGGAATGGGAGGAGAGCAGAGGGGGCCAACGTAGGGAGCGACTGGCGACGTCCGACGTCTGGGCGGGCATCATTCGCCGCCTCTGCCACGCTCTCCCTCGAGCCGTCTGCTGCTTCACGCCGGCCTGCTCACAGGAGAAGGGTAGTCCTCCGCGAGTTGGCCCGCTCTTAGCGCTCTACCGCGCGCGAGCTCGTTTCGCTGCAAAAGCCTGAGGTGTATGGGTCATGCCCTTGAGGGATACGCGTTTGCTTGGAATGGTGAGACACGTGTTGAAAGCTTGGTGGTTGGTCCAAGTGTTTCTTGAGGCGGCCGATCGACAAAAGAGATATATCCTGTTAGCAAGTGTGTCTATTCCCTCCCGACCGCCTGGCGACCACGAGGGAGCCACGTTTGTTATGTATTCAACTGTCGCAGAGATAGCGTCACATCCGATGTCGGATTAGACGGCATCACAGGAGCAGCTTTGCGAACGTAATGCTCAAGCAGATGTAACATCGCACTGTGTGAAAGAGTGATGAAGATGTGTTTTTGTCCTTAGCTACCAGACCTCAGGGTTACTGGTGGGGCCAGGATGCAGGGCAGAACATGGAATCGACACGAGTTAGGTTGGAGAGTGCCAGTTCTCCGTGGTGCAGGTCACTCCCAGGCTTCGACGTCGTGCTTTTTACCCACCCGCAGGCCGCAAAGGTCTCGATCCTTTCCCTGGTGCAGATGTTCCGTCCCGGATCGGTACTTGTTTCCCCCCTCTCCAAAGAGTTCGCCAGACAAGAAGAGTGGCTGGCGCTCCCGTAGCCCGAAACAGCCCGCCGATGCCGCACATGGACGAAGCAAAAGCAAAACACTATTAAATCGCTGGACGTTTCGGAGTGTTGCACGGGCCACCAGCCTGACACACGTCTCGGTCCCTGCCCCTATGATTGGCATCATTTGACGTCGATGCCGATCTGAAGGATTTCCTCAGCTTCTGAGGGCGCACCCCTGAGACCGTCACCGTCTTTGGGCCTCTGAATGTGCTCTTGGGGGCCTCCTTGTGACCGCGGCCGTCTTGGGAGCCTCTTGGGCCCTCTTGGGGCCGTCTTCGGGCCGTCTTGGGCATTCGGGAAGCTGGATTGAGCCGTCGTGAGGCTCTCTTGGACCCCCAGACATGTTCCATACGTTGTGGTACGATCTTGGGCCCCAGACTGGTGGGGGGCATCTTGGTCCGCCGATGTGGCGCAACTCTACAAGGGGGGTAGGGGGAACCTCAATAATGTAAGATCATATGATCTGCAGCAGTTCTGTCATATTGGATACATTGGACACGTTGCGTTAAGGCGTTCGCCGAAAAACGCTGCCACTCACCTCGTCACCTCCAGACGTGGATTTCTCCCCCTTCTTTGGAGCATGTTGGAGGCTTCTGCCCCTGGAAGCCCTACGGGGGCCCCGTTGGGGTCTCCTGGGGCCTCTTAGGGGCGTCATGGGTCATCTTAGGGCGCTCTTGCGCCGTCTGGCCCTTTCGGAGGCCGTCTTGGGGGCCTCTCGGGGCCGCCTTGTGGCTCTCTTGGGGTCCTCTTAGGCCGTCTTGGGGTCCTCTAGAGCCTTCTTGCGGCCTCTGTGGGCCATCTTGGGGCCCTCTTGGGGGCATCTGGGGCCGTCTCGGGGCCATCTTGGAGGTTGCTTGGGCCGTCATGGGCCCGAGAATCGAAAAAGGCGAGAACGCTGAAATATTGGAAAACCATCGGAAAAAACACCATGCTATGGGCCTCTGGATGTGCTCTTCGGGGCCTCCTTGTGGCCCTCCGGGGCCTCCTTGGGCCTTCGAGAAGCTGCACCGAGCCGTCTTGAGGCCCTCTTGGACCCCCAGGAGGCTCCAGGGGCCGACATCATAAATGTTCCATACGTTTTGTTACGTCTTTGGGCCCAGACACGGGAGAGAGGGGGGCATCTTGGTCCGCCGATGTGGCGCGACTCCACGGGGGGGTTGAGGGGGAAAGCAATATTGCAAGAGAATAGAAATTGCAGCAAGAATGTCATGTCTGATACA